GCGGCAGGCAGGAGAGATGGGCAGGAAAGGAGGGAACTGCTGATGGGAGCCCTGTTGCAGAGGAGATGGGGGCAGCTCTGGCCACCCCTGCAGTGCGGATGCCTTCCCCGAGCAACCCCTTCCTCTGTCCCACCCAGCACAGCCCTCGGCCCTCACGGCCATGCAGTCTGGGCTGGGAGTCACCTCTGTGTCCAGCAGACCAGCAGAAGAGGCAAAGGGCATCCCACGTGCCCATTTCCCCCTGACCAGCAATCAGGCTGAGGGCCACTGTCCTGCATTATCACTGTCTGGGAGATGACGTGACCAGCTGGGTCAGGGTAACGCTGTGCCCGGTGTCCGGCTGCCTCTGCCCTGGCCTCTCTCAGCCACAGCCTCACTCTATTTTATCTGTTTTCTCCATTTGCCTGATTTAAAGTTCTCTTTTTATTGCTGTCAGACTCCCTGGGGATGGAGTTTCAGCCGCAGCGTCACACACTGATCTTGTTGGTCCATTCATGCAGGTGTGTCCATGGGAACATGTGTCCCAGCTTTCCTCTGACCGGTGGGGCCGTGGGCAATGCAGCCTGTGGGGATGTGGAATGAATCAGTTCTCTCTTACTGAGATGCAAACATTAGCACATTTGGCTGTTTCTTGGGATGTCCTTCAAGGCTGTGAGCCAGGATGCCAACCTGTCCCATAACACCTTCATGTTTTATCTGAAAGTCCCACAGAGAAATATGGAGACTGTTTGACTGAGGGAATGCTGTTGGGTTGGTGAAATGATCCATGTGTGTCTTTGGCTGGAAGTAGGGTGCTGAGATCTTTAGAAATGGTGAGACATTGAGCAGTCTGCATTGGATCCCTCTGCTCTCAGCAGTGTCTGGTGAGTGTCAGGTTCATACAGGAGTCTCAGACGGGATCCTGCCCACCCTGTATGTTATGGAGTTGCAAGCCAAAGGCAACTGGTAATAGACAGCGGGTCAGATCAGCTCCCCTCGCTCTGCACTAAGCCACGGGCAGTGTTCCTGCCGTGCAGGACTCACTCTCTTCTCCCTGAGTGCGGCAGAAATGCTGAGGGTTTCTGCCATGGAAGAACACCCCCCCTCCCCGGGGAGAGGGAGGAGCTTTAAGAGACCTCAAACCTCTCCAACTCTTTCTGCCATCCTGTTTTTTTTAGCACACCGACGGAAGATGCTGAGAAACCTGTCTGCATCAGGAGCGGTACCATCTGACAAACACCAGGACTGGTCCCCGCCCTCATCATTCTCATGAACCCACTGCAGCAGAGCAGGGCTGACTCCTCGATATTACTCCTCGATATCCAGCAAGAAGCCTTCTCACGCTCGGCCAACACCAGCCAGAGCTCCAGCAAGGGAGCTGAATGAAGGTTTAGAAAATGAAAATGGGATTTAGGTAACAGGAGAATCTATGAAAAATGTCTTTGACTTTAGTAAGAGAAGAATCCCCTATCTACTCTCTGTCTTTTCGCACTTGAACAATGCCCCATGCCGAGAAGAAGCAAATGTCCAACAGCAGCTCCATCACAGAGTTCATCCTGCTTGCATTTGCAGACACACGGGAGCTGCAGCTCTTGCACTTCTGGCTCTTCCTGGCCGTCTACCTGGCTGCTCTCCTGGGAAATGGCCTCATCATCACCACCATAGCCTGTGACCACCACCTCCACACCCCCATGTACTTCTTCCTCCTCATCCGCTCCCTCCTTGACCTGGGCTCCATCTCCACAACTGTCACCAAAGCCATGGCCAATTCCCTGTGGAACACCAGGGACATTTCCTACTTGGGATGTGCTGCACAGGTCTTTCTGTTTTCTTTTTGGCTTGGGGCAGAGTGTTGTCTCCTTACTGTCATGGCTTATGACCGCTACGTTGCCATCTGCAAACCCCTGCACTACGGGACCCTCCTGGGCAGCAGAGCTTGTGTCCACATGGCAGCAGCTGCCTGGGCCACTGGGTTTCTCAATGCCGTGCTGCACACGGCCAATACATTTTCACTGCCCCTCTGCCGAGGCAGTGCTGTGGATCAGTTCTTCTGTGAAATCCCTCAGATCCTCAAGCTCTCCTGCTCAGATGCCTACCTCAGGGAGGTTGGCTTTATTGTGGTTAGTGTTTGTTTAGTATTTGGGTGTTTTGTTTTCATTGTGGTGTCCTATATTGAGATCTTCAGGGCCGTGCTGAGGATCCCCTCTGAGCAGGGACGGCACAAAGCCTTTTCCACGTGCTTCCCTCACCTGGCCGTGGTCTCCCTGTTTCTAAGCACGGTCATGTTTGCTCACCTGAAGCTCCCCTCTCTCTCCTCCCCAGTTCTAGACCTGGTGGTGGCAGTTCTGTACTCCGTTTTGCCTCCAGTAGTGAACCCCCTCATCTACAGCATGAGGAACCAGGAACTCAAGGATGCCCTACGGAAACTGGCCCGTTGGATAGTGTTTCACTAACAATGACCTGTTTCACTTCCCTGCACATTTCCCGGGGTTTATCTTAGGAGAGAAGTCTGCTTTTTTTCCCTTGTGATAACTCTGCTTATAGATAATTTTCTGGGTTTAGTCTTGAGACCTGATCCTAATACGTCTGACTCTTGCACAACACTCTGTCAGATGTGACCTGTCAGATAGCAGCTTTTCCATAAAAATAGAATTCTCCGGTGCAGTGCCTGAAGATGGGGCTCTTCCATCAATGCTGCTTCCATGAAAGTGTCCAAGGAATTTGTCTTTTAAAGAGTCTGTCTTCCTCGTGTTCTCAATCGATTTGGGGTTAATCTCATGGTACTGTTGGGTTCTACTGGATCAAAAGTTCTGGTTTTGAAAGGTGTCCTCTTGTTCTCCACTGGAAGTGGAGATGGCCCTATTGTATCCTTAGGTTTCTTCATGTATGGCGGGGCTGATGAGCTACAGGAGCTACAGCCCGAAGCCTTCTGTTGCAACAAGTGGTGACCCTGACATGATCTGACTGCAACTGAAATCAGAAGGCATGTGCATTTTATCCCAGGGCTTCAGGGACAGAACTTAGACTAAAAAGATGGGGCAAAACTCCATGAAAGAAAGTGTGGTGTTTTCTGCTTTCAAATCTGTAATAAGGGATGCAGGAGCTGACATAAGCGATAAAACTCTTTGCGATTTGCTAAATTGGGCAGCAGAGCATGAATGTCTAGCTGACTTTAACACTGTCTTTAGCCCAGAAGCCTGAAAATGTCTAGGGGATAAGTTAATGTATGAAGTTGTGTTTGGAGATAAGAGCGTAGTCGATCTACTACATACATGGGGATCTTCCATGACTTAATAGAAAAATGGACAGCAGGAAGAAAAGAAAAGGAATTATTAGGCTCTGATGAATCTGCGAGTGAAGGTTCCAAAGGGGACAATGAGTTATCTGATGGGACACTGACCCCGGACAACATGGGCAGCGCACCTGCTGCATCTCCGCTGCCCTCAGAGACTGAGAGAGTTGAGGAGACTGCACGGGAATCCTAGCCCTCTCTGCAGGATTATGTTCCATGTGATTTTGTGGTACTGGAATATCCCTCCAGACAAAACAAAGCATTGGAGTGTTCCTCACCCTTCACCCCAGTGGCCTGCCCTTCCTCCTCCGTGCTACAGCTGCCCATACAGCCAGCGGGATCTGTCCGTCCTACGGCTCCGCCATTCACTCCTCAACCGGGCCAGGCACCCATGCTTGCTGCTCCACAATTGGCCCTGGCGGCGCCACAAGGACCGTTCATGCCATTCCCGGGTGTGACCATGGCGCCCTGGTCTTCCGCGGCTCTGTTTCTGGCGCCTTCGTGTCCCACGCCATCGCCTACAGGGCTCGGCTATCCAGCACACGCACCAGCATCCGGGCATTCTCTGGTACAGGTGCAGACGGTGCAACCAACATTGGTGAATTTTTTGACATACCAGTTTTTGGCGGTCCTTCAAGAAATGTCACAGCAACTTGTGGTACTGACGGAGGTGTTGTGGCAGGCTACTACTGCTGGACTTGTGCCAGGATGACCTGGGCTGGCTATGCCAACCGGCCCAGCAACAGCCTCAGAAATGGCACCATGCGTGGTGCCAGCAGCTCTGGCAGCAATGGTGGTGCCCCAAGCCGCAA